TTGGTGGGAATGTAAACTGGTGCAGCCACTATGAAGAACAGTATGGAGTTTCCTTAAAAAACTAAAAATAGAGCTACCAAACGAGCCTGCAATCCCACTCCCGGGCATATACCCGGAGAAAACCATAATTTGAAAAGATACATGTACCCCAGTGTTCACTGAAGCACTATTTACAATAGCCAAGACACAGAAGCAACCTAAATGTCCATCAACAGATGAATGGATAAATAAAATGTGGTATGTTTATACAATGGAATATTACTCAGCCATGAAAGAAAGAATGAGGGACTTCCCTGGTGGTCCAGTGGTAAAGAATCTGCCTTCCAATGCAGGGGACGCGGGCTCAATCCCTGGTAGGGGAGCCAAGAACCCATATGCCGCGGGGCAACTAAGCCCGCGGGAGACAACTATTGAGCTCGCACGCCTCAACAAGGGAGGCCGCGTGCCGCAAACTACAGAGCCCATGCACTCTGGAGCCCGCCCACCACAACTAGAGAGAAGCCCACGCGCCGCAACCAAGAGTCCGCGCCCTATAACAAAAGATCCCACGTACCGCAACTAAGACCAGACGCAGACAAAAAAATAAGGAAACTAAATGTTAAATAAATATAAAAAAAAAATGAAATAATGCCATTTGCAGCAACACGGATGGACCTAGAGGTTATTATACTAAGTAAGACAGAGAAAGACAAATATCATATGATATTGCTTATATGTGTAATCTAAAAAAAAAAAAGATACAAATGAACTTATATACCACAAAGAAATAGACCCACAGACATAGAAAACAAACTTATGGTTACCAAAGCGGGGGGGATAAATTGAGAGTTTGGAATTAACACACTACTATATATAAAATAGATGACCAACAGGGACCTACTGTATTGCACAGGGAACTGTACTCAATATTTTGTAATAACCTATAAGGGAAATTAATCTGAAAAACAATAGATATATATGTATGTATAACCAAATCACTGTGCTGTACACCCGAAACTAACACATTGTAAATCAACTATACTTCAATAAAAACACACACACACAAAGTAGTTTAAAATAAAAACTTTACAAAGAAATAACCATTTGAGATTATATATTTATCATCTGTAAGCAATGTGAGAATGAGGACCATAGCCATATTATTCACCACAAACCCTAGAAACCACAAAAAGGAGTTTAAAAAAAGCTACTGTATAAGGATGAGAAGGGAAGTATCTGGTACTCATTTCTCAGTCTCCCAGCAGAACAGTTGCATTTTCTCAGAACAGCACATTCAGGAGTTAAACCTCACAAGTTTTCAAACTCTTTATAGTTTTCATGTTCTTCAGAACACATAACAACAGCACACTTTGAGCACCTCGTACCCTGATCCAGTGGTAAGTAGTGACGTTTCCTAGCAGGCTCTGGCCTGGGAGTCGGGAAGAATAGGTCTTAAGCTCAGTTGGGGCACTACCCGGCTGTGTGACTGACATGGCATAAGATAACCCCTCTGGGCCTCAGTTTCCTCTACTGCATGAGTCTTTGGACTAAATCAGGCATCTGCAAGCTCACTAGCCTACTGTTTCCATACAGCCCAAGAGCAAAGAATGATTTTTACATTTTTAAATGGTTGAAAAACTTCGTGACACGTGAAAATTACATAAAACTTACTTAAAATTCAAATTTCAGTGTCCCTAAATAAAATTTTATTGAAACACCACCACTCTCTTACACACTGTCTTTGGCTGCGACCACAGTACTCAGTACAGTACAGCACCAGAATACTTATACTATTATAAGTATACTCATACTTACTATAGCCACAAGACATAATACTATTATAAAAATCATTATATCTACAACCAAAGTTTGCCGACCCCTGAACGAGACCAATCCGAGGATACTCCAGTTCTAAGAACGATTATGAATCACCCAGAAGGAAGCCCAGCCGCATGGAATCCGCATACACAGCATGACCTGTAGTAACCCAGGCCCCCAAGGGTGGAGGGCCCCCAGAGCCCCTTGTGCAGACACCTGCCAGCATCAGGAAGCTCTATCCGGCCTAGGTCCGCCTCCTCGGGGCGGTGGGGCAGGCAAGGCTTGCAGTTTGGAGCCAATGGCCCGCGGGGGAGCCGGGGACTCGGGACAAGCGGCTGCACGTCCTCTCGGCCTCAGTTTCCACACGTGAGGGGCGCTCACCGCGCAGCGCCGCCGTGAAGGTGAAGTAGAAGGACGCGAGGCGGTGATCAGCGCGGGGCCCGGCACCGCAGCCACAGACCGGACGGCGGCTCCCGCTGCGGCCACTGTGATCCCTGCCCGCACGCGGAGCCCCTCTCAGCCCCCCGGGACGAGCAGGAGCCGACGAGAGGCCCGCGCGGCAGCGGGGCCCAGCCGGGCCACTCCGGGTCCCGGCTTCGGTTTCCCCACGAGGAATCCCAGCGTCCGCCCGGCCGGACCCCGCGACCGCCGCCCCTCAAACCCCCGCCCCCGGCAGAGCAGAGCCGCGCCCCCACCCGGGGCCGCCCCAAACCCGCTGCCAGCGAACTCACCAGGCGTCTCCACGGCAACCGCCTGTCCGCCAGACCCCCGCGCCTGCCGGCTGCGCGCCTCACAACAAGGCGCGCTCCCATTGGCTCCGGAGCCGGCTCCACCAGCCAGTCGGCAAGCGCTCACGCGCCGCCCCGCGGAGCTGGCGCTCGAGGACCCTGCAGGTGGCGGCGCAGCCCTGCACTTCGGCCTGAGTGCGGCTGGGGGCTCCGCGCCCGCTGCTGCCCGAATCCCGCCCGCTCCCTCCCCACCGCTTGTCGTACCAGGGAAGCACCGAGCTCGGGCCTGGCCCGCAGCAGCTGCCAAGTGACGGCCGCACTACTGTTACAACCAGCGACAGGTGTTCTGAAGGCCGTGGAAACCTGGGACACTTGGAGGGAACCGGGGCCGGAAGAGCATTCGCACATTACCTGGACCTCACCTCGTTCCGAAAAGGATTTGAAGCCTAAAAGTCACAGATACAAGCAACTACTGAAGCAAAAGAAAAAGGGGGAGGGGGAGCGGGGGATGAACGTACCGGGGAGGACGTGACAGAACAGAGCCGGAAGGAGGGCCCAGCGTTGACGGGTTTCTGACAAGGGCCTGGGACACAGGGGTAAGGCTCTTGGGAGCTAAGCGTTTTAGGGAAGGGCTTCACACTGGTTGACATTCATAGCGGCTTGAGTCCAGCAAGAATGACTTAAAGAACGAATGTTATGGCTTTTTCTTTGACTTTATTTATAGACAGTAAAACCATGGTGAAGAACTCAGACGGTTCAGTACAGTAAAGCTTTAATGATATGCTAGTAGATAAAAAAATAATTGAGTCGCCAACCTTGATTTTTGAGAGGAGTATAAGGCGCAGGGTTGGGTTAAACAGGGCATAAACAGATGGTTTCAAACTTTCGTGGATGACTTGCAACCTTGTATGCAGTTTCCACCGAGTTGTATCTTGAAAGATGCTCTGGAGTGAAAGTTGAAAAAAGATGGGAAGGGTGGTGCAAGCAGCAGGGAGCTAGCTGTGTGGCAAGGTTTTGAATTGAGAAACACTGCTGGCCATGCAGGAGCCTCATGCAGCATGGTGTTATCAGGGGGTAAAACTCAGGGCCACAATGGGGAGAGGTAATGCCCGCGTGGGGGGAGGGGCCAGTCCTCACAGCAAACAGATGACATCACTCACAATAGTGGGGATGAGAGATTGAAGCTGGGGAGACCAGATCTTACCTTATGGTCCTGGCAAGGGTTAGGCATGAATCCCTCCTTAGGCACTTCAACCATTCATTTGCATTCAACCCACAAACATTCCCTGAGCCCCTTTGGGAAGCAAGATATCCATGTTGGCAGAAGGAATGAGAGCAGAAACAGCTGGGACAGTGAGCCAGGGAGAGGAACTCCAAGCTATAGCTTTTAAAAAGTCCTCAGCGGGGCTTCCCTGGTGGCGCAGTGGTTGAGAGTCCACCTGCCGATGCAGGGGACACGGGTTCGTGCCCCGGTCCGGGAGGATCCCACATGCCGCGGAGCAGCTGTGTGCAGTGGCCGCTGAGCCTGCGTGTGCGGTGGTCAGGTAAACAGCAGGCACAGGCACATTCTTTTGGAAACTAACTTATTAACCAGGTGGACTGCATAGACTGCAAATCTCAATTTGGTATTTCATTGGTGCACAGGATGATCAAAGCTTTAATTGTGCAGAGAAACATAGCACCCAGAGATGTAAACTCTGCATCCGGAAGGAAAACTGAAGGCAACTTCCTTTGGACTACCCCCACCCCACCTGTATATCCTCTGAAATGCAAAAGCATGGTATGTTCTTTAGATGGGGGTGCGGGATCCCATTCATTCCATTTCTAGAAGCAGATTTTGCATTTCTGGGTTTGCCAATCTGGGACATGGATTTTTTTTTTTTTTTTTTTTTTTTTTTTGCGGTCCGCGGGCCTCTCGCTGTTGTGGCCTCTCCCGTTGCAGAGCACAGGCTCCAGACACGCAGGCTCAGCGGCCATGGCTCACTGGCCTAGCCACTCCGCGGCATGTGGGATCTTCCCGGCCCGGGGCATGAACCCGTGTCCCCTGCATCGGCAGGCGGACTCAACCACTGCGCCACCAGGGAAGCCCTGGGACATGGATTTTTACAAGGCGCACAGCTACACTTAATTCTCATCAAGATTCACTGGAGAAGGTGAAGTTTGGCAATGTCCACGGAAGGTCCCTAAAGCCCAGGCTCAGGACAGGAACATCTGGTCCGCAGAGTCTGCAGGAAGGCCCAGGCTGGACCAGCTGCCAGCTCCTCCCCACCAGCCTGAACATGGACATCGGGAGCAGGGCCTCCAGGCTGAGCCCTCCACCCTGATTTGGGCAGCCGAGATACAAAACATGAAACAGAGGCCCTGAAGACAGGAACATCCCACCTCCCAGGTTCCCTAAGGTCCCCACCTCATAAACCAACCCTGCTGCCCAGGGTGGCCCAGAATGCCGGAGGAGGGTAAAGGGAAGTAGAGAAGTCATGTTTGAGAGACAACGCTCTTCATTTATTTGTCATAAGGATGGGGAAGAGGACCGTGAGGTCACAGGCCTGTCTGCACGTGGGGGTGCCAGAAGCTGGTATCCACCAGGCCCTCACTCTGCCAGGAGGCCTCTCTGGAAGGAGCTGCCAGCTCACCGATGCCCTGGATGCCCTCCATGCCAGTCATAAAAAGGTCATGACTGTCCCCTTCTTGCCGATCTGCCAGGGCTCCAAGGGGAGAAAGCGGATAATTATCCTTCAGGAGACAGAGAAAAAGATGTCATCAGCTCCTTGGCTAATGCCTCACATTCCAAGACCCCTAGCCAGGTACTCCCACCATGGGCTCTCAGGCCAGCCTGTCTTAGCCTACCAGGCATTTTGCAAAGCTGTCTCAACCCATTAATGCTCTCTGCCCAACCCCTGACAGAGCAGTGGGCATGTCAAGGTTGGGATGGTGACTGCACATCATCATCACCCACCAGGAACAGACTCTCAACATGGCGGCCTCTGTGGTCACTGTATGCTCTGTCTGTGGGTTCACAGGGGAGCCCTGTCTTCCAAACTGCAGGCCCCGGGGGGGCATGCGCAGTGCCCAAGCTGCCTGTTTTTGCAAAGCCTGGCTCAAGAAGGCCAGGCACAGGGTGACTCCCCCCACCATCCCTGTAATGTCTGTGGAGTGAGTGAGTGTGCCCCTCTCACAGAAGTGATAGGAAGTTCCTTGTGAAGAAACAGGATACCTGGGATAGCCTGGGACCAAGGAGGTATATGTGACAACCTGTTTTCCCATTTGTAAATAGGCATAATAGAGGTATCTACCTCATGGGGATGGCATGTCCACACGAGGGGTGTGGAGAGGGGGACAAAACTTCTAAGGATCAAATGGGATCAGGCATGTGAGTTACCTATGGAGTGTCTGGCACATGGCAAATTACACATTACTTATGTTATTACAATTATTATCACTCCCCAGCTTGAGGACCAGGTCTGAGCACCCCCCAGAAGTAACCATTCTTCACCAGCCTTTCTGGGCCAATGAAGGCTCCATTCTGGAAGGTTCTTTCAAGCTTCTCATATACTTAGTTCCTCGTAGGCATGGACTTGGCTCAGGAATATTTTTTACCCAGGAAGAAACTTTAAACTTGCCACAGAGTCCCAGGTTTGGGAGCTGTAGGTGTTCTTGGGAATCGTTTAATCCATGCCTCTCTATTCCCAGAAGAGAAGGCTACAAACCAGAGATGGTTCACTTCCAGGTTTGTCTGGATCCTCCAGCTGCATGGGACCCAGAACCCAGGTCTCCAGACATCCAGGCCAATGCTCTTTCCACTACTCTGTGGCCCTCCCAGGAACCTTACCTGGGACCTAATTGGGCCATAGGCCCAAAGGTCACAGCCTCAGGACATACCCAGAATTCCTCGACCAGCTTGGAGAAGCTCTAGAAAATTACACCTGTTTCCCTAAGATGTGGGGAAGCCTGAAGGCAGATGATAAATGGCCTTGGTTTCGTCAGGGTAACAACATCCTGCCCTACAAGGTGTCAAGGCAGGTGCAGTATAGTGCCATCCCGTGCAGTACCCCCAGGGAGTAGTTAAAGGAGAGCCTTCCCACTTCACAGATGGAAACACTGAGGTCCTGGAGGCCACACCTTGCCCAGATGTCACAGGGACCGCTACAGAGCCAGGAATTCACTCAATTCTACTACCACTCTCAAGGTAGGCCCACCACCGGGGGGCGCAAGTGGCCCTGCGGCACCACATCCTAGCGAAGGGTGGGGAATTAATTTTTTCCCCAACCTTAGGAAGGGCCTCAAGTCGGATCCCTGCCCCGTCTCGCAGCAGTCCCAAGAGGGTCCTCTCCCTGCCCCTACGCACCGGTCCTGGGCCAGGTCCAGCTCTTTGGTGAGAAACTCGAAGAGGCGGGCACTGTGGCCGCGGTTCTCCTCGGCCGTGCCCACCACACCGATGGAGGAGACGAGCAGCTGCGCGCCGGGCTCCGCCGAGCCGTTCATCGCCATGGCCAGGCCGGGCCGCACCGTCACGTTCACGCGCTGCGGTGACACGAAAGTTTCGCCTGAGGCCAGTGTAGGCCGGGATGGTGCTGAGGACCGGAGAGCGCGGAGTGGGAGAGCGCAGGCCACGCGGGATCAGGGCCGGGGTCCTTGGAGGTCACGTCGGGGTCATGGCTGGGCAAGGCGACAGGGAGCAGACGTGGCGGGTGGGGCCCTGACCGGTCTTGGAGAGCGGACCGGTCAGACTTGGCGGGAGGCGGGCGCGTTAGAGTCAGGGTCGCGGTGGGGAAGCCGGAGCGCGGACAGAGCCCGACCCCATCCGCCAACCTCCTCCCTCTCCGTGCTCCCCTGCCCATACTCACGTCCTCAGGCTTGCCCAGGATGGCGGCAGTGGCCGCGCAGAGCCGCTTCTCTAGTCCCACGGGCACACGGCCGGCGGGCAAGTTCGTGTCCAGCTCAACGAACGGCATTTCTAGCGGGAAGGCGCGCGAAAGGCCGCCAGGGAGAAAGAAAGCACGGAGTCCAGGTGGGTGATCTCCAGGGCAGGGCTGTAGGGAGCAGGGGCGGGGCGCCGCGGAAACCCGTTCCTCATTGGCTGGGAAGGTACACAGCGCCCCCCGATTGGCTGCCTTGACTACACCCCCGGCTTCGGCCGGCAGTCTCCGCGTGCGACGGCGCTGATTTCCGGAAGTGCTGTAGCCCGGCCGGCGCAGAGTAACCCCACCCCCAAGGAGACATTGGCCGTTCCAGGCCCCGCCCACACGACTGGCCCCGCCCCCGCTCCAGGCACACTGGCCGAGGTTTCCGGTCCCCTGCAGCTTTCCGGCGCTGCTGCGGTCTTCTGCTTCTTAGCCAATATTTAGATGGAGGTCTGAACAACCCCCCCAAACACACACACCTGTAGGAGCCTTCCCCAGGCTCCACCCTAAAAACGTTACATCGTCACGGAGGCTTAAAATTATTTTTAAATGGGTTGCCTCCAAGTCAGGCAACTTCACGCTCCATGTGTGAATCTGCACTTCTCTTGATCAGGTCACCTGGTGATACATGTGGGCTCGAGTGGGGCTGGGCAGAGACCCTCGGGCTCCCTGTATCCCTACCTGGCCCCCAAAGACATCTACCTTTGTGGCCTCTTGTGCCTGTGCCAACCTTACCTCACGGTGAAGGACAGCCCACCGGGGGGTGAGAGCCGCCAAATCCCAGTAGAATTACCAGCAATGTTTACAGGACCCTATGTTTTTATAGGTGAAACAAAAGTTGTTATTTAAAATGTGGAAGTCGGACTTCCCTGGTGGTGCATTGGTTTAGAATCCGCCTGCCAATGCAGGGGACACAGGTTCGAGCCCTAGTCCGGGAAGATCCCACATGCCACGGAGCAACTAAGCCCGTGCCCTCAACTACTGAGCCTGCGCTCTAGAGCCCATGAGCCACAACTACTGAAGCCCATGTGCCTACAGCCCATGCTCCGCAACACGAGAAACCACCACAATGAGAAGCCCGTGCACCACAACGAAGAGTAGACCCCACTCACCGCAACTAGAGAAAGCCTACGCACAGCAAGAAAGGCCCAATGCAGCCAAATTAATTAATTAATTAAAACAAAAAAACCGTGTAAGTCTGTTGAGGTAGCCAAACATGGTACTCTCATCTGCGTTGTAAAGTTGTTTGAATTGTAAATGATAAAGATAATTGAAGTTGTATGGGTGTATATGAACAATTTCAATTACACATCTAAAATTCTATTTAAGTGTACATATTAAAGGAGCCTCTATGGGAGGCAGGCAGGCTGAGGCTCTGTCTGTCCATGACCCTGTCTCCTTCGTTTATTAGATGATTCAGATATCAGAGGGTCTAGGACACAAGACAGGTAGATTGTGACCATCCTGAGGGACAGGTGACAAGTCTGGGACCCAGGGTGTAGCGTGGAGAAAACAGTGGCCGGGGTTACGAGTAGGCATGGGAGAGCAAAGCCCCTCAGCAGCACCAGGAGGGCTAGGAACTAACCTGAGACTTCCCTCCCTGCAAGGAGGTTCATTAACCAGCCCTGCACCCCACCTGTGGGAGACAGTGTCACCCCAGAGGGAGGAGAGAGACCCAGGAGACTGAGATGATTCCTGATTGTGACTCTCTTTACCAAGTCAACTGTGACATGTGCCAGTCCAGGGGGCATGGAACCAGCTCCCTGCCAGGACTGAGGGAGGGAAGCTTTGGGGCTGAGGAGCCCAGAGGGGTCACCTGACTTGGCCTAGGGTGAGAAGTTGGAGGAATTCTCCCTGGAGAAGGACATGGTAACAAATACCAAAAGATCAGGCAGAGCACCAGGCAGGAAAGGTGAGGGGGAGCCCGGTAAGCAGCAGAAATAGGCTGAGCCAAGGCCAGGAGGCCAAGGAGGAAGCTGGGAGTTGGTGCTGCGGTGGTG